AACGAGATGATAGTGGGCATATAGCTGTTGATGCAGTTCAGGAGCTCTTAACTGGAGATGCTCAATCAAAGAAAGGCCGAAGTAGACAAAATGAGGTCGGTTGCTTGTTTCTTTCATCTTAAAATGTTTACATAATTATCTATTTGTCCCTGAAAAGTTATGCTTAGTTATGGTTTAACTTGTGAGATTTTTACATGAATATTATCAAAAGTCATGGGAGTTACAAGAAAGTGACTTATAGCATGGATCACGTATGGGCATCATGGGATTAAGTTAGAGCAAAAAGTCATATTTTTGTTAGTGGAGTTTAAAGTAGTTATATTTGTGTAATTTTTTCTTAACTTGTTACTTTTGACAAGTACGACTCTTAAAAGCAGGGACAGGTAGGATTTGCATTGCCTGGAGTCAGTTTTTTGCATATATAAAATGGTGAACAAAATCAGGGAGGCTAGGGGAGGGACCCACAGCCCCTGCCTCCATCTCTGCTTATAGTCATGAAATTATGCATGTTATTCATTTTATTTTTTGTTGGATTAACTAACTTTGTCTTATTTAACTTCTTTGCGACTCTATTTTGAAAAGTCACATGCAGAACTTGTTTCGTTTGATCAAATAGGATTCTTTTGGGATGGTGTTTGGTTGAGTTTTGTGTGTGTGTGTGTGCCAGGGGGATGTAATAAAGAACTTCTCTACCCTGCACCACATCTTTCCCATTCTACCCCACCCTCTCACCCCATGAATTGTTTGTTACTAATAATGTTGCATAATTGGTCTCAGGTTCCACTTCCTCCGAGTTTATACAGAAGATTAACATCAAGTCCCACACTAATGAATCTCACGCAGGCCCTGGCTTATCACAGGATGTATGAACTAACTTTTTGACTCAGTTTATTTTCTCTGTCTCACGGAAAATATTCTATGATAAGAAGATCTTTGAAAGTAAGCTGTTCTATGGATATACTTTATGGTCCTTTTGGATAGAGTAAATTAAGTAAACCAACCTAGGTCAAGTGAAACTGGGTGGAACCTAAATACACACACAGGGATTGGTTCGAATAAAAAGATCATCTAAGGTGAACATTGAGAATTAATCTTGATCATTGGTGTCACAAAATGGGTGGATGAGATCAGTCCCCAATGCGGTGGCGTTTTTGTAATTACGAACTTTTATTAAGGAAGTGCTGATAAAAGTATATCCGGATTTACAATAAGTACAATTATAATTTAAAAGTGCATCCCTATACGAAACAATTTGTATATAACTACGACCTCCGTGGCTCCGTCCCATTTATATTGTCCCGGAAGAGGGTGACACGGTTATTAAGAAACGTGGGTTTGTGTGGTTGATATTAATTGATAAAGTAAGAATAAAGTAAGAATGATTTAGAGCCACACAAACTTTGTCAAATATGGTATGGGACAATTTAAGCGGGACTTCCCGAAAAGGTAAAACGGGACAATATAAATGGGACGGAGGGAGTACAAGATAGTTGATAGAAAAGTTAAGCTGGCATGAGTGCACATTTTTAAATTGATCTAACCCATTCATTTTTAAAGAATGAACGACTTAAATTTATTCTCATTTTTCATTGAAAGACTTGTTTTTATTTGAACCAATCCTTATATATATATATATATAGAGGACTTTTCATGTCCAGCCGGCCAGACGGGAACCTCCGTCCGGCCGAGGGCATTTCGGGCACTTCCCGGTGGTAATTTTTGTTCAAATTGTTTGTGCATGTTCTTCATCAAGTCTAGTTTATCCATACCAAATTTCAGCTCAAAATTCGATCGGGAAGGCATTCAAATGATTTTTGGAAGTTAACTGCGCACTATATATACATATACAACACAGTTAACTTCCAAAAATCATTTGACTGCCTTCCCGATTGAATTTTTAGCTGAAATTTGGTATGGATAAACTAAACTTGATGAAGAACATACAAAAAACATTTCGACAAAAAATACCACCGGGAACCACCTTAAACGGAGGAGGCCGGACGAGGCTCCTGTCCGGAATTTCCGGACAGGAATAATCCTGAAATATATATATATATATATATATATATATATATATATATTATTTGAATAAATATTGGGTTACCTCATGTGAATGCAGTAAAATGTCATTTGGATGCAACTTAACCAAGCTGAACATGTTAAAATTACTTGTATTGATAACTTAACCTCTCAATTATTGGAAAGTTTTGGAGGTTCTCCTAGATAAACTTGGATTTTTGTAATAAGTTAGTAAACAAACGAGGTGTTGCCGAAATTAAATCTAGTAGAACATAGGTTCACCTCAGAACAAATGGATCATTAATGTTTATCCATTTAAAAACAGTGGTTTAGGAAAATAGCTCCCTTTTAAGTTCAAGAAATCGAGGAAAGCACATTCAGTCAAGGAAACTATCTTCGCATTCAAACATAGGAAAATATGGGAAGTATTCTCCAGGGAAAGTATCTTCTGTCAGTCAAGAAACTTGTTTTCCCCACTTTTCTCCTTGTAGAAAAAGAAGCTGCAACAATTGTTTGCTTTGTACACACTGAAAATTGTTCCTGGTGCGTTAAAATCGTTAATGTTTATTGATCTGTTAAACAAACCATTGCAGGTGTTATGAAGAGATGCCTCTCCAAGAAATGCAAGCTACCCAAGAACAGCAGACCATTCAGAACCTTAGTGAGACACTAAGAACTATTTTGCGGTTGTAATCCTGAGTGTTGTATGTTCATTTCTAATTTAAGAGAAAGTGTGATGGTGTTGTATTATAAAAGCAGACTTTATTCCACACTCATGAGTCATACCTCCTGCTATATATTATTGTTTACTTTTGCTGCTGTTCTAATCTTACTAAAACAAAATAACGAGAAACAAAAGAAAGATAAAAGAAGAAAAAAATAAGACACACATGTTACTTGTAGTGTTTCAACTTTCAAGGTAGGCATGAAGCCGGGCCGGGCCTAGGCCCGGTCGGGCCTTTTGTGGATGGGGGAAGGCCTGGGTTGCCACCGGGTCCGGTTCGGGCTGGCTTGTATTTTTTTTTCTTTCCTAATTACCCCCACCCCCCCAAAACATCAAGCCCAACCCGGGGAAACCCAAAAAAACTGAAAAAAAAAAACGGTTTTGGTCCGAACCGGGCCCTGCCGGGCCGGGCCCCCATTTGTACAGCCCGAGCCCGCCCCGCTTATTCCATACACGTATACAACCGGGTCAAAGACCGGTTTGGGGCTCGAAGCACCGGGCCAGGCCCGTACAGTAGCGGGCCGGGCCTGTTCCCGGGCCGGGTCGCCTGAATCGGGTCCAAGGCTATTTCAAGGGGACAAATTATGAATACATGGACAAACAATTAACACTAATGAGTTTATGGTTTGAGACTTTAAGTAGGTTTTTGTTCCCTCTCTAAACCTAAACATATTGTTTGCCTTCATTTGAATTTTGAATATCCTTCGTCTTTTCTCTACCCAACCTGCAATCAAAAGGTAACACATCACATAAAGTGATCTCACATTCTCAATTTTGAACTGATTTCATCAAACTTCTATTGTATGAATTGTCGGAATCAATCACTCACACTAAATTGAAAGAAAGCCATCATCAATCGTCATCTTCCCGTTCCGTGGAGTATTCAGTGACACTTTGAACGCAAATGGGTTTAATACACCAACCCCCTTGTGAATCTGTGATATAGAAATTCGGTGCATTAGCTCTCTGTGATTTAAAAGATGTACCAAATTTCTCTGTGTTTTAATTAATCACGCACAAAATCGCTTTTATGAACAAATTTAATTGTCAAGTAAAAGAAAAGTGATTAACATTATTGTATGATTTAGAGATTTTGACATATTAACTTGCATGTTCTATCAAAATATTAGGAAAAGTGATTTCCAAATCGTTGAATATATTCAAAAAAGGGGTTTTGTGCATGATTAATTTAAAACACAAGAGGATTTGACGCATTTTTCAAATCACAAGGATTAATACGCTGAATTTCTATATCACGTGGGGGTTTGGTGCATTAAAACCCGCAAAAAACACAACTCAAGAGGCCATTAAGTGTATGTTATTAATACTCTCATCTCAAATTAAATGTTTTTTTTTTTTATGATAAACGGCTTATATCAATATAATGAAAACATGCAAGATAACTTGTAGGCATCTATTATAAAGATTTTATTTCTAATCGTTTTAAATCTGAAAATATCATTTTCTTTTATTCGAACATTGGTTTGAAAGTAATGTCATTTTTATGGCATTACATGTGCCATTTTAAGTCACTTGGCAAAGAATGCCATTTATAGGGTAATAATGCATTTTTTAAGGCAACATTACTTCCAAATGCCATCTTTTTGTACACATGAATGTCATGTCTTTGAATATTCCATGTTATACCATATCATTACTATTAGGAAAAACTGTCAGATAGGTTCTCGAACTTTCATAAAAAGGTCAATTAAGTCCTTCTATAGGAGGTTCTGTCCGTCCGTCGCGATTTGGGACAGCTCCCAGTGGAATTTTTTGATGAAATATTGTGAGCATCTTATTCACCAAGTCTAGCTTACTCATACCAAATTTCAGCTAAAAATTCAATCGGGAACACATTCCAATTAATTCTTGAAGATAACTGCACATTTTTGCGTTCTCAAATCAATTTGAATGCACTCCCGATTAAATTTTTAGCTGAAATTTGGTATGGGTAAACTAGACTTGATGAATAAGATGCTCAAAAAATTTCATCAAAAAATTCCACCAGGAACCACCCCAAATCGCGACGACCGGACAAAGTCTCCTATAGAAGGACTTAATTGACTTTTTTATGAAAGTTCGAGGACCTATTTGACAGTTTTCCCTTACTATTATGAAGACCGCAATCACACCAGAGGTAGGCAACAAGTTTGCCACAGAATATGATAGTCGCACCAGAGATGTGCACTGGTCTCGCCAAAAGAGGCAGCGGCGGTCAGCTGCGGCAGAGGCCACCAATGTTATATATATAGACACATTTTAAAATTTAAATATCAAATAATTCTTCAAATGATAATATTCTAAGCAAATAACAAAACATATATCTCAGATGACCATTAAAGCCAAGTATGTTTTCAACGTTACATCAAGTATTTGGGTCATCATGACGTCTATTGCATGACATTAGAGTATGAACACCACCATACAACCAACACCGTCACTGGCAGAGCAAGAGCACCCCTGAATTTGAATTTGGAGTGACAAAAGAAAGATTCACTCATAAATTTTCTTCAAAATTAAACTTGGGGTGGATAGAACTCATAGAAGTATTAACCTTCAATGGCGAAGGACATACATGCAGACAGCTGATAAAGCAGGAACTAAGACATTTATACAGCCAGAGGGACGGAGGGAATTGCGTTTAATCACACTACAATCTGTTTCACAATAACTTTGAGAAAAAGGGTACAGTACAATCTCCTGAAAGAAGAGTAATTGCTGGGGGACTAAGAAGATTCCAGGTTTTCTTTTAAAACCTCAGCTTCAGCTTGTGCCATGGGATCATCCTTGATGACATCTCCATCCTCCTTTTCACCTTCTCTTTCCTCTGCCATCTTTTTCCTGTGTAATTCCTCTGCAGCCTTCATATCAGCCCTATTCTCTGCTTGAAGTTTCTGCATTTCCTCTTCTTGCTGTTGTCTCTCAAACCATGTGTCCGCCTCCGCCCATACTGAAGTCATTATCATAGCATCATCATTTTTGGGTACATTGAGAAAGTTATATAGCATCATCATAACAATAGAATAAGTTCAAGAATTTCAGAAATCTTTATGCGCATCTTCAAAACTAATAAAGGGGATACTCTATTCACAAGTACAATACAAAATTTTCTTTGAGGATAGGTGAAAGTATGAAGAGAAGTTCAGATTACACAAACAATAGCCTGAATAATTTGAATCATCAACTGATCTACCACTCCTTCCTGGTCAATAAGCATGTAATTTTGAGATAACTAGGCTTTACTCATGATAGAATATCCTACTTGGCAAAAAAGACTTGGTTTGGTTTGGTTTGGTTTTGACATTACGATTTTGGTTTAGGATTTGTGAATTGTTTGGATAGAAAACAAGCTGAAGGGTTTTACACTTTTAAATAAATTGTGAACAAATGAAGCCATCAAATCCCTACTAGGATGGGAAAGAACTAGCTAAATATTGCAGTTTAGATGTCATTCCTTGGTGAGAACTTGCTTAGAATAATACAATCCAATCCACTACTTGAAAGATGAGCCAGCAGCTAACTTCATATCCCAATGTCAACAATCAAATAAGAATTATCCACAATCTCACACAGAGATTTCTTCAGGGCCAAAAGGCAAAAGCAAAACAAAAATAGCAAGATACTACCCCTACACAAGCCTGCACCACTTGGGCTTATGGTTAGCATCACATCGTGCAAATAAGGTAACATGATTTAACCAATTAACCTTGTCTGGTTTGGAGTTAATCAGATCAGATTAACATTACCACCACATTTGTTTTTTAAAGTAAGAGAGAGATGAGAGTCATGAGACCTCAACTTCTTCAAGTATTATAATTACAATATTATGATGGCAATATTTTAGGCTAAACATAGTTAGTCCTTGGCAATTTATTAAAACAAGTGATATCACGTTCTGTTAAACCTGTGATCTTACATTCCCCTACAAACAAATGTAATCTCAAATTCAGTGAACCACGCTCTAATTGACTGCTAAAGAGGATTTTCATATTAATCTATGCATAACAAACCAATTAGCTAGGGTCATATCACAAGATCCTGTTCTTTTTATTTTAAAGAGATCTTATTTAGTATTTTTGCATTTCCATGTTTCTTATCTTGAAAAATCTTCAAGACCAATAACCACTAAAAATTAGACAATCAAAGACTATTAAAAAACGCCACATGCTAGCTATCACTGTGTGATCCAGGGCTAGGTTTAATAATGACATTTATTTGACCAAAAATTAAACGAGAAAAGTAGGAGAGGTGATAAAAGATGCTTACTGGGCTGGGCAGCCCAACCCTGTTCACCACCCTTGATGCGTTCAGGGAGAGCGTAATTAACGGTGAGAACTCGGCCGTAGAGCTCCGCGCCGTCCATATTGTCCATGGCAGCGGAAGCATCTTCCCTCTCAAGAAAAGTGACAAAGCCAAAAGAGCGGTGCTTCTGTGTGGCTTGGTCCAATGGAGTCTTCACATCCTTGATGTCTCCGAAGGGTATGAAGGCGGCGTGGAGTATCGCCTCGTTCACTTCCTCCGCCAATCCACCTGTAATTCATAATGTACTGAGTTCATTCTGGAATCATAAGTGGATGAATTGAATACGAATGTACGAGGTAGAGGATATTGAGACGAGGAAACTTACCTACGTAGAGAGTGTTCTTCTGCACCGCCTGATTCATTGCTCTGACTCTCACCCCCTTGCTGCCCTGTTTCGTAGCGTTGAGCAAGGCCTAGTGGGAATGTAGGATCTCTTATTTGAACAAAAGGATTATCCTAGGGTAATTCTATTAACAGTTACGAAATGACTAGTTACAGCTCCTTAATTAAATTTAAATAAAAATAATAACATTAAACATCTATTTTGCCGTCCATCCACCAGTGACAGGGGCGGATCTAGCTTTGGCCTCCAGGTGGGGCCAAAATTTAATTAAATAATGTACTTTGCAAAAAAAAAAATCTATTGTAACAACAAAATCAAAGACAAAAAATAGATTATAGGAATAAAAGTTTTCACCAAATGTGAAATACAAAAAAAAAACGAAATTTACAACTGATTTCTATGGGTTTTCATCAATTGATATCGCTTGATAATGACAGCATTGTCAATTTTCAAGAAGATGTATTTTTCGACATAAACAATAAATCTATCATTGAGTCATTCATCAGTCATTGGGTTGTTCAACCTATCTTTCACAATATTCATAGCTAAAAATCCAGGGTCAAATGGTAGTTGGGAAAAATCACTCTTCAACGATGAATGATTGTCTATTATTTATGTTGTTTTGTTCGTCATCTGTATTTGAATTTCTTGAATTGTAGTTGAGGGTACTACAATTCTCGATGAGTTATCTTCATTAGCTCATGTTATAGTATACTCCATCGGGTTATAGTATCTCTTAATAACAAATCACAAGCAGCGGTCAGTTTAGTGAATTACAAATCACAAGCAAATTCATACTAAATAAGGCCGCAATTTAATTTTTAAACGCCTTAATTAAAATTAAAAACACAATAAACTTAACAATTAACCTTTGAACAAAAAAGCCAAACAATTAACAAACTAACCAGTTGCTGTTAACACCGAAGAGTATAAACCAGGTGGTGCAGGAGTGCAGCCGTGCAGATTGCAGAAACTAGCGGTGACTCGGTTTCCACTTGTCCGGCTATCCGTACTCAGCCGCCGTGCGCCCGTCCGACCAGCGCGACAACAATTGACTATTGACGAAGACTTAATCGACGGTAGATTGTTGCGTGCTAGACTGCTAGGTTACGATTTGGGATCTTTCCTACGATTGCCGACTCGATGGCCTCTGCCCCTGCGGTCATGGAGTTGGATTTGGGATTTTCTTATTTTGGGCCATGTGTTACCTTTGGGCTTGGCTGGAATGGCTGCTTCACGCTTGGGAAGAGTGGACTTGCTCCGACGAAGGGAACTACGGACCAAGACTGCATAGTACTACATTATACTCAAGTGTGATGAGGAGTATAAAAATGAAACAATACAATAGTAGCAATGAGTAATAATTATTTATAATTAGACACAATATAATGCAAAAAATGATTGCACTCATTTTTCTCTAAATATGAGTAATTACTTACGTAATTGGAAATATTGCATATATGGCATTAATATTGTCATATTAATGTGTGGTAACGTTAAAAATGCCACCAAGAGAAATGAGTTAAATATCACTTAAACGCAAACACATGCAATATACATCTAACATTTTATCCCTCATTAATGCAGAGTTCTACCATATCTGATTTTAACCTCCTTTACATTTACTCATCGTTCTTTTTTTGTTGAACTGGTATGTTATAATAGGTTTACAAATATGTTTAATTATATTTTAATTTCATTTGTTTAAGCGTGATATGAACTGATATAATTTGAGTTGAAATATATTTTTATACTAATTGTTTGATCCGTCTCATTTTTCAAGGTCTAATGTTTTTTAATGTGCTCAACTCAAATTTAATATGGTTTGATTTGTTTAAATCTATTCTGATATGCTAATAAAATAATTCAAAGACAAAACATACAATTCCGGTGAGAGACATACAAAAGAGGGAGGTGCCAAGATCTGGATTGGTTGTGAACTTCAAATGGTAGGGTGAAAGTTGCTACTATAAAAATATATGTGCTTTCGTAGTGATATTAGAAAAATACTTCAATAGTTAAACAATTAATATGGCATGAGATATTTCAGAATGTGTTAAAATACTTTAATGAATAGAAGAATTTCAAATATAAATCATAAAAATAGTTGAGATCAAAGTGGGCGTAAATACATTAGATGAGATAACTAAACAAGATTTAAAGATGCTTGGTCACATTTTGAATCACTACTTGATCGGTCATTTGTGCACTCTCAGTCAGATATTGTCAATGATACTAATTCATGTTTGGTAATCATAATGAAGTTTTGAACGAACTATGTTTCTACCTCTGATAAAAATACATCCTAAGTAATATTATTAATTGCTTATTTTCTATGATTGTCATTGGCCGCTTATAGTAATACTATAATAGTTATCATTATCTTTAGGAAATGCTAGTGAAATATCTTGTTAAAGTCCATCATTGTGTTTTTTTTTTAAATTTAAAAGAGCGATTTTTATATTAAAATTGAGAACACATACAAGACAACCTTTGAACAGATTTTACAGATCCAATCGTGAACCCTAAGAATAGACATAGAGTCAGCCAACGTAACTAATACAAAGCAATCTGACACGCTAAACCTGAAACGAGCAATTTAAGCCTGTCATTTTTTGAGACATCAAAAGCATGACTGTTTGTTATTGGATAGTAAATTAAGTGTATTGATATATATATATATATATATATATATATATATATATATATATATATATATATATAGGGTGCGGTTCCAATGAGAACGGTGCTTAATGTGAGAACGTGAGAACAAATCCTGGCTTTTAATTAAGAGAATCAGACGGTTGATTAATGCGTAGGTGTACAATTAGTTCCTACGTTGCGTAACATAGAAACACATTTAACAAACTAAAATAACCATACGTGGCTTGTGCACAGGGTAAAATCGTCTACCCTTTAAAAATCATTTAATGTAGTACCCGTTCAAGGTTGTCACCTACCAAAAAATTAGGAAGAGATTAAATGTCAAATCTTAAAAAATGTTTTAGTTTTAAAATTGATTTAACTTTTTAAATTATAATCTGATTTTAACAAAAATTATATCAAATTAAATAACTTTTTATGATCTTTCAAATGAGATCCATATGACATATACAATTTTGTTTTTAAAAAAAATGTATAATATGCACACAATAAACCACAACAAACATTATCTTCAACTATCACATGTACTATATTATGTATCTAACGCACAACTACTAAGATCTGATGCACAAGAAACAATATCCAACACACAATATGCATAAAAAAAACTAAATCAAGTATCTTCAGCACAAAATCCAATGTCTAATGCACAAAGAACAATATCTAACACACAAAATTAAAAACTAATTAATATATAACATATAAGGATTTCACACAACTTAAACTAATATATAACACACTAGAATCAATATATAATGCACAATATGAATGAAAGCCCAAGAAGCAATATCTAATGCACAATCACCAATATCTAATGCACACAAAAACATAGTAGCTCACACAATTAATAACTAATATTGAACACAAGATTTCATATAATTTAAACTAATAATATATAATACACATGAATTAGTATCTACGGCACAATATGTATACGAAGTATATGTTAAAGAACTCGTATGTAGCACATAATATGGACATAGAGCATTACAACAAATACATCATATCATGCACAAGAACCGGTATCAAAAGCACAATCCCAAGTGGTGCATTTGAGTGACACAATAGTGCAATAGTGAATTGTACGGATGCATATGACTAAGTAAAATATGCAAATGTTAAGACCTAAAGTATGTTTAACATATGAAAATCATAAATGTGCAATTAATAGTCATTCGTTGTGTAGTAAGTGAAAAAACAAGTGTACATCACTATTTGATAATTACATTTGAGAAATATAAAATTGATGTATTAGCTAGTGATTAAGAAACAAACCAATATGAAAAAATAAATACGAATGACAACCATTTCCTTTTCTTTTATTTTGTATGAACTAACAATATTTACATTCCAAGAATAGAGGACAATTTAAATTCCAGTGATTAGCAAAATGCAAAAACGTCCAAAAGAACTGAAATTGCACAAATCAACAAACCTGTTAAAGTAAAGTTCAAAAGGCAAAGTTTCATAAAAAGAAATAAATATTTTGATTGAATAAACGTAAAAGTAAACTCACGTGAGTTTATAAAAGGAATAATGCTATTCTTCCCATCCTAAAAGTGCGCAGCATTACTTCAAAGTCGATACATTCAAATCCCAAAAACTGAAATGTCGGGTTGCCAAAGTAGAAAAAGACGTATATGTCCTTTCCGTAGTCTTATTTAATCACGGATGGTTATTGATTTTGGATGGCTGGGATTTGTTCTCACGTTCTCACGTTAAGACTCGTTCTCATTTGAACCAAAATATATATATATATATATATATATATATATATATATATATATATATATATATATATATATATATATATATATATATATATATATATATATATATATATATATACTAGCGGGGTGCACGCGCGTTGCGCGAGTATTCATGCCCAACGCGCAAAATTAAAGAAAAAAGTACGGCACGATATGTACATAACCATAAGGATAACATGACATAGCATATGATGTGCAAGCACAAGTAAGTTCAAGCATAAGAATAATATCACAAATATGATTACAAAGGTTGTCAAAGTACAATTGACATTAAGAGTGCACATGGGAATAAGAGTGATGTAAATGAAACCGGTGGGCAAAACATAAACGAATAAAACTGGAATGACGTGGGGCATGAGGTTTGATTTCAGGGGAGCATTGAAATCTCGTACTCACAGCTTCTGTGAGGCAGGTCCTCCAAGCAGGTAAATCTGTCCACGACTGTGTTTGAAAAACGCCATAGGAGAACGCGGGTCGAGTCCAAAAGAATTCTGGATCTGCTACAGTTTTGAGTCCATCCCCGCAAAGAATATTGGTCTCGATTCCCATGAGAACAGGACGCAGGCCCACAAATGACAGCAGTCTACCAAAAAGGATTCACAGCGCTCCTGCAATGAGATAACGTGTTAAACATACAGGCAAGCAACTTTTAAAACAATAGCACAGTCCACACATTTAGCTAATGATGTATTCCTTCGTGTCACCATGATTTCGTGAGGTGGAAAACTTAAGGCACAAAAATTATGATAATAAAAAACACATATCTCCATCTTTTAGCAACATAGAGCAAGACTTGATTATTTCATTAGCTTCATATCACCCTTGATTCAAAATAGTTCATATCTTTATACCAGGATTCACTATTTAAAATTCAACTTGATATTCAGACAGTCAACACAACTACAACAGAAAATGTAAGACAACTCACTGGTTCATATTCACGTTCAACCTCACGAATTCGTATTCAACAGCAGAAGCAAAATAGAAAGGAAAAAAAAGAAACAGTAGAGTCAAAAGTAGACATAACTCTTTTCGGAAAGATATGGAAAGATTTAAAACCAGCTCAAACTTTTTCTAACATAACTGAATGTTAAGAAAAGAAAAAGGACGATTGTAGTCAGCCAATCATTAGCAATTTACTTTTAGAAACTTTTAGAAAGCGAAGAACCATAAACAACTACTTTTATAGCTGAGGGTTAAGACCAAAACAAAGTTTAACTTCCTAAAATCCTGAAACTTATACTGTGAAATCTATTTAATGAAAATAGAGGAATTGATAAAACCCTCGACCTTGTGAATGATTTACCTCATCACACTTTTCTTCTGTATAGGTGTTGGCGGTAAAGCAGGACAATCATCCGGAGTAATATCAACAACGAAGAAAGTTGTATCATCCTTCAAGCCGTGTGCCTTTGGAGCCGAGCCTCCTGAGAATAAACATTTTAAATTAAAATTAGTGAATCCCTGATAAATTCATGATTCAAGGTAGTGTATCACAAGTAAAACCTACACCTCAATGACCAGTCCTGCAGCAACTTCTGCAGGCATAAAAAATATTTTACAGGTCCAGTTGTGGAAATACTGAAAAACATCAAAAGAAACCAATAAGGTTTAAATATATGTTTGCATTAAAAGTGAAAACTTAATAGTGTAGGAGATACCTCTAGAGAAGAGTAGTTTTTTGCGTGGGAGGGACATCTTAGCTAACAATATCATGAGAGTGATGATAAATCCAAGACTCTTCAGAACTTATCCTTGTCCCCCGTCTCTGACTCTAGGGGTAAAACCCCCTGAATCAATAGACATAGGATTCCTTAAGTCCTAGGTTTAGTAAGTCCTATTTTTAGA